AATATGTCTCGTCATATACACTTGGAGATTTTCCTATTTAGCTACCTATATTTCGACGCAAATGTAGAAGATTGAAACCATTTTACAGCGTTTTCTTATAAGATCTAAGTACTATCAGAAAGTTTTTGCTTGCAAAATTTTGAGTTACTGTAGTGTAAAAATATTTTTCTAACATTGGTTATGATAAATATGCATAATAAAGATTCAGCAACATTTGAGTGTTGAAGATATTTAAATATAAATTAGTACAGTTCGAATTTGAGGTTTAGCTTATTTTGTATAGCATCTGTTGAAAAAAATGTTATATGGTAAGAGATATTCTCAATACTTTTTGTTTAAAATATCCTGATTGCCGTGACAATTCTCAAAGGACAGTATTTTGAAACAATTTCCTTTTATTTTTATTTCATAATACACTGAACATAAATATTTTTAGTAATTTTCTTTTTTATAGATTTTTATTAATTTTTGTCGATTCTGCAGTGCAAGTTAATAAATAAACAATTCTCAAATAATTCATTACTTTCTATAGGTATAACATATAAATAGGTACTCGAATGTAAAAATAAAAACTATGAAAATAATATAACAACTCTAGCAATTATATTTATATAAGTTTACGAAGACTTTTTGAAACGATATATCTATGTTAAATACCAGGATGTGTAATGGTAGTAACTTTAATGGTAGTTATTATTATTAATAAAAAAAAGCGTGGAGTGGCCTCACTAAAAAATATATACTCTATTTAATTTTATCTTATAGGTACTAATTTGCTCCCTGACTGAACATAAAATATATAGAATACCCTACTCTGACCTACAACCATAACTATTATAATCATCTGTGCTAGAACCTCGAAATTTGGGATAACATTATGAAAAGGTTTTTATTACAAAAAAGGGTAAAGGGTTTTTATAAGGAAGCTATATCGTTAGTAAGTTTCTGGCTTTTAAAATAAATTGGTACTAAATCAAGATGAAGATCGATACATACAGGGTAACTTTTAATTTCTTTTATAACTATAATATAATAATATTAAATATATCAATTGTTCTAAAAATAAATCGTTTGCATCACCATTAGGTATACATTTATAATATACCACGCAACGACATTCATCTTGTCATAACTATCTACAACATTTGTAATTAAATCAGCTACAAAAGATGTTAGTATATATTTGATTTATCTTTTGAATTGTAGTTTACATTATCTTATAAACAGAATTGTGTATTAGAAAATTTCAATGTTAGTTTTATCATCTACATAAATAGATGCCTACACCATCGTTGGTACTATGACTATATTATATTTAGATATATCTATTTTACCATCTGCCTATTGGTTTCGACATTTTACTATTTAGGAGGCCATTTATCGTACTGAGAATTTCGTCATATTTATCTGATTGGTAAAGAATCTTTATGAAAGGTATGAACTTTTACTAAAGATACCTGAGCACTAATAATGAGTAACGACATAGTGGAAAAAGTCAGCGAAAAACTCGAATAGAAGCATATCTGTTATACAACTATTGAATCGTTAGGGGACTGAAGGAAGGTCCGTCCTAATTTCAAGGACAGTTAGGAAATACGTTAACGAAAATAGAAACTATATGTCACTGTGATTAGATTTTGGTAAAATTTTGAAAGTATTTCTTATTTGGTAGTCTGCTGTGGCAGGTAGATATTTGTTTGTTATAGTTTACTGATATCTGTTGAAAAGTCAAATAATACCTGAATATTTTATCTTAAATTTAAAAGTGGCTACCTACACATCCTGATATTAATATATGGTATAAACCCAATCTTGAACGAGAAAAAATAAAAAATCGATGTATATTACGTATAAATAAATGTATTCATTATTACGAAATTACTGAACGAATTAAAGTTTGTATTGTTACCAAACTTATAGTATATGGTTATGATGAACAATGGACGTCTACAAGTTTCTACAAACTTAGTAAAGGAGATTTTATTTTACAAATATTTGGGACAGAAGTTTCTTATCGTTATGGAAAAGTAAGATATATTGTACCTGCATTATAAATAGGTTGAAAAAATATCTACCAATGATTTGATCCCGTGGGATTCAAACCCACATTTCCCTGCTGCATCAGTCGGTAAATTATAAATTGACCGACTGATAGTGTTATCTATTTATAATTTAAGATATGAGAATCTAATGCAGGGTTATCAGGCTTACAAGGTCAAGTATCATACCATTAATTGTTTTTCTTAAAACTTGCAGTACTTCCTTAATTTAGTCAAGTAACCAGAAAGATGATTGAATGTATCGGATTATAGGTGTTTTATCCATAAAATGTCGTGGCGTTGCATAGATTTTTTTAAGTCTTAAGATTTAGTAGTTTGCTTTGGTTATCAAAATTCGCTATTAATTGTTATACATAGTTACAATAACTTGGCATTAAACACCTAAGAAAACGTCTTTGTTAATAGATAAACTACAAAACAATATGCTAGTTAAATCAGGGGCTTAAAAGTTTTGCATAAATTCTAATATATCAATTGAGGCTCACGCTTATTTTACATTTCACGCTTCTTGTGTCTTACTTTTCTCTATAGAATAATTAATTCTAAAAAGTTCAGTTTATGTGCTTATTAATTTTACATCAATTGATAACAATAATTTTAGATACATATTATTTTAAATAGGTGCCTACAACGAACTTAATCTCTTTTTCTTTAACTGGAGGAGGTTCTTAATTCAACTATAATATTGATATTATTAGAAAAACACTTATGTTCTTCCTCAAAAATTTTTTATAATCAATATTTGACCGGTTTCACTGTTTAAGCCATTTTCATAAATTAATTTTATACTAGTATTATCTCGTGCAATCAATTAAAGGATGGCTGGAAATTAATAGGAACAAGTGAGTACATGAAAACATATGCCGACATATCGGACATAGTTTTTAATATTGTAAAGTTGCCAAGATAAACTAGTTGTTTTGTTCACTCGAATAATTTATTATTTAATCTATTCCGTCCTATCTCTATTTTATTTAATTTTTTAATAATATCAATATGTGTACAAAATTCCACCAAGTGCCGACAATCAGGATAATCCTTTACAAAAATTTTGAGTGTAGTTTGAGAGATAGCTTCATTGATTTTGTAATGGAAATTTCTATTTCAATGATTTGTTTGCGTTCAGGATTTATTCCCATACTAATTTTGTCACGATTGAAGTCGGGTTTTTTGTGGAACAAAATTTTATTGTAAACCCATTATACCAATTTTATTTGCGTCAGTAAACTGTAGGCGTTTTAAATTAGCTGGACATCAACGTTTTTAGTCTGATGTATTAAACACCTTTAAAATGGAGGAGTTTCTCAATTCGTCTGTTTACCTCTCTTTTTTGTTGTTGTAGTTATTTTAGCAATTGATACAGTTTATTTCCTTGTTAGATTTATTTTCCTTTTGTCAATATAAAACTTTAAACTAATGCACCTAGATATATTTCAAATGTAACGACGTTAGAATGAGTTTTGAATGTCCTATATTATTATAATTTTTATTGAATAAATTAATGATGAAGATTATTTTATGCTTATTATAAATCTAGCTCAAAACATCACTCGACTCGCTTTAGATAAAGAGATTAACACAAGAGAATAGATTTATATATTTTTTAAATAATTTAAATAAATAAATATGTGGGTAAATAAACGTTTGATTTAGTAATTTATTATCTTTACTGGCAGTCAATCTCCTTTTTATACATAGTTTTCAAGATTTATTATAGCTATATATAGAAGTTAGTTTCTTTGGCAAATCATATCGATATAAGGTTCTATTCTAAGTGGTAATTAAGTTTAAAATCTAGCTACTGTAGCAAAGAAATGAAATTAATTAGTTAGGAAAATGGAGAAGGTTATTTTTTTAATAAGATCAAAATAAAAGAAATCATGATCTACTAAGAACTACGAATTAGGTATATAAATAATATTGAATAAATATATTACCTATGACGTATAGCATCTTCATGTACCCGAACACGCCTTGTCGATTTCATTTTCACCTAAACATTTGATGCCAATGAATATATTATATGTTATGTTCATTATAATGACTATTTATTAATGTTTTTATGAAATGGAACGCGCTACATTGATATTTCTTTGTTAATCGAAAAACTGGCTTTTGTTTGGGTTCGGCTCGATAAAAACAAAGAGAGTCCCTTGATACTCTTGCTTATAAATTATGCATGTTTATAAAAGATACGAAAGAGAGTCACGTATTGAGTTGGTATGTGTGTAGAAGGTTGTTGCAACATGACCCAGGTTACTATACAATTTCTTTTCCCTTGGGCTAGGTATAACACAACTACGAGGTCGGCAGTATGAGGGTGGAAAGGTCAAACTTAATAACAACAAATCGAAATGTATATTGGCAGATTTCTACATTTAATTTTATGTTTGTTAGAACAATACAAAAGTAGTATCATTAAAGGAGTATAAAATAAATAAGTTTATTAAGTGAAGGTTTTAGTGATGTGATTGTGTTTAGAATACAAGTTGTGATTGTTGTTTATGCATTGTGAATAGGAAATTGGCATGTTCGCGGCGGCGCACTGGCGCACTGGCGCTAACCGACCGCCGTCATATTTTAATCACGTAATGTAATGCGAAAAATCTGTTCGACCCAACGCTACCTACGTTTAATAGTAAACTATCGATCCAAATTTAGAAGGGTACTTTATACGCTGTTAACTGAATTTTAGGTCGGCATCTATCACTAATTACATGTAGGTATACAAAGACAAAAACACAATGCGATTTCAAAGAGCATGCTTTCGATTTTATTATTTACCAATTTCGTCTATAGAATTGTCCATAAACGACATGTACTGGTCGGTAGGAATATATAACGATGTCGTGCAAAAATCGACACACCAGACTTTACTTACGTACCTTAAAATTCACAGCCAATCTAAACAACTGAAAACTGACATCCATAAATATTTACATTCCGGTAGACGTGGGACGCGTGATCGCGTGCGTTTCTGTATACGAGCCCGAGGAGCGCGAGCTATAGCCGGCGGCGGTGTCGGGGCGGTGGCGGTGGCGGTGGCGGCGCGCGGCGCGGCGGCGAGCACGCGGCACGTGGAGAGCGGCCCCGAAGCGCCGGCATAATACCCGGCACTCATGAGCTCGGCGCGGCTGAGGCGCGGTGCGCGACACGAGGCGCGGGCTGCGAGCGCCGACTGACGTGCCCGCCGCCCGCCGCCGCCACCGCCAACGCCGCCTTTTCCACCGCCGCCCGCCCAACACCATTTACACCCTGCCCCCCGCACTCTTCTAATTCTAATTGTTGGCTACCTCCAACGATTCAGGTCATCGTACCTGCATTTAAATTTTACCCTGAATGAAAAACCTGGTTATAATTTGCATATTTAATACAATATTCGGCTTTCTTTGAAATTAGGTGCTTAGCTCATGAAAAGTATGGCGAAATTCTTAATTTTTTATTTAAAAACTTGGCATTTACTTACCAATTTGTATTTGTAGAGGCATTTTAATGAATTCGTAGCCAATTGCTACGAAAGCGTAATAACCCTACGTCAGGTTCTTATTACTTTCATAAACAAAAGTAGCCAATATCGAACCTTCTTAATTTTGTCTTTTTAATTTTGTATTATCTATCTGTTTGGTCGTAGTATATGTGAACCCAACTTTTAGTACTTAAATTTTATCATAATATTGTAGACAAATATTTATTTATGACAATGGCGACTTTCAAATATCGGGGTCATTTAATTTTTTTTGCCAAATCTACGCACAATTCAAATGTTTGGATAAAAAAACAAATGAAATGACATATTTTCTTGTTTTTTGAGGGGAATTCTAAAAAGAGTTTTAGAATTCCCTTCAAAAGATTACTAAATTAAATTTAGCAAATACAACAATCACATGACAAATCATCACACAGAGAAAACAAGAACAAGTTATTGAAAGAATCTTTTAAAGTACCTACAACAATTCAAGAGACCTTATAAGAGATGGAACCTTAGTCAAACGGAACTATACATCTAAAAATCGGAATTACAAATAATTAAAATGTAAAGGTCCGGGATTCACAATTATTACAACCAATACATTAAAGAGGCTATGAATCCGTTAGATTTTTATCAAGTTTATTTTTATTATGTAGTATTCTAAAATACTATAGTATAATAATAACTATATATATAGGCCCAGTCTATTAGCGCTTGACTACGAATTAGAGGTTTCAAAATTGAATTCAATTCATCATTATTTAAAAATAGTTTGATATTTGCATCGTGCAGGGGCCACATAAAGCTGTCATCTGGAAGGCCATGTCAGAGGCGTTTCTATATGTACAAAGATGGTCTTTTGATTATCAAAGAGCGCTATCGTTACATATGTAAAGAAACTTAGATTTTTTGTGTCCCGTAAGTGTCCCTTATGGTAAACGCGATAAAACAGTTAGCAATTTATCACCATGATGTGTGTGGTGGTCTGGTGAATTGAATATGGCTCGTTAATTCACCTAGAGAGTTTGTTTATGATAAATGTACAGTTAATTTTAAAACAAATTGTATTTATAAGTTTGCATATTGATTGACATTTTTAATTTTATTTTAATATGATGGGTCGACAATGATAAGTCCAATTGATATCTCAGATAATGATGAACTGATGATGTTTATTCAATTAATGACAAATTTTATGTTAAATATGCTAGGTATAGTTCATGCATAACCTGAAGTTTGTCTACAACAGTTCGTCTTTGTGTAACGAATAAATATAAAACTTAGAAATATAGGTATTGTATTATTACCAACAGAACAAAGGGCTATCTTCTTTAAAATAACACACAAAATAATAAAGACATTAGTTCCAACTTTATAAGAGTAAGAACTTAAATTTTTAACTTTATAAATTTAGTAATATATCTAGTAGGTTATGTACCTATATATATATATATATATATATATATATATATATATATATATATATATATATATATATATATTCTTTATTGCACAAAAACATACAGTAACAACAATAAGTTAATAACAATGTTAGCAAAGGCGAACTTATCTCTAAAAGAGATTTCTTCCAGTCAACCTAACGCAGTGGCATAGGAAGTAGTGAGTGAGTGGGCAGTAGTAGTGCAAGACAGAAATTTAAATAAATATTTACATAAATTATAAATAATTATATATATACACACATGCATTCACATATATACATACATACACATACACATATATATACACATACACATACATATACACATACACATACATATACACACATACATACACACGTTAAATACAACATATAAATATCAAATACAAGAGAACACAATGATGACAGTCTTCTAATCATTTTTATATTTAAATTAAATTGGAAAGATAAAATGATTTTAATCTTTTTTTGAAGGAACTGCTAGACGGGCTATTCTGAATATTCACGGGAAGTTTATTCCACAGCTGTACAGCACGATATGCAAATGAGTTACCCATAAAATGGGTTTTACAGCAGGGAAGCTTCAGTACCCTGGACTGGTTCAGACAAAGACGTCTAGGTCTGGAAGGAGGAGGTAATAATTGGAACCGGGAACGAAGGTAGGAAGGAGAATTGGGATTATTAAGGATATTATATAGGACCGCTAGGACATGTGTCTCTCTACTATCTGTAATATATCTACATAATATATGATACGGTAAAAATAATGTAATAAAAGATAAAATATATGGTAAATAATTTAGCCTGACAGAGGGTTTTGGTTTAATTCTTTCATTTGATAGAGCTATTCTAGTCCTCTCGTATACCGCTCTCAACAGACGTGGACAGTTGCCTGTTGGTATTTTTATTAACTTATGATTTTCACCTCGTTTTCATGATAAATAACGTAAATTGAAATAAAACAATTAAATCGCTTCAGTTTAAAATTTAAAACCTCAATATTATTGAGCTTGCTACATGGATTTCTGAAGCAATCTTTTTATACGGTATACTTTGTTTTAATATTCTTTAGTTTGTTAAGATAAAAGAAAAACAATACATACCACTAAGTAGTAGTATCAATACACAAAGATATTAAAATCGTAAAAAGGTCGAATCTCGACTATGAATATTTTATCAAAGAGCTCTTTGTTGCATACCTTCATGCTATAAGTCGAATCTTTGTATCTAGATACCTACTATATATTTACTTAAACTTCAATTACTAAAATTTTTATTTAGTGTGCAATATTTATTTTGAAAAATTAATATTTTAAAAAATATAGCTGTAAGCGATCAAATTAATATTCTATGTATATATTCCATTTATATTTGTTCAAAAATCATGTTTATATTATTAATAATATTTATTAAATCTGACATTTATTTATTTAACCGTTAATAAACTGCTAAACATAAGTCTCCCAATAGATTAATAGAAAGAACGGTTCAGAGCCATCTGAAACTTACAACACATTTGATGTCGTTGTTTCATCTAATGTGAGTTGTCCTACTACACTGCGGTTTGCTAGTGTGGAATCCTCTTTCTAAAACATTTCTTGCAGATCAATCGGAGGTTCTTCGAGCTACACGAATATGATTAATCTACTATCACTTCAGTATATTTATCCTTAGTAATATATGTAATGAATATAATCTCTATAATATTATAAATCTGAAACTGAGTTTGTTTGTTTTAGCGTTTTAACGGTTTAATCAATCACTATAAAATTTGATATAAGTACACGCAATATATGAAATGGAAAAGGACATAGGATGTTTATCTCGGTTACGTAAATTAAGTCATGGTTAAGAGCTAGTAAATTATAAATACCATAATTACAGTGAAAATTATTTCATATACAAAAATGATTCTATTTTCAAATCGGATTGATTTAAAACAAAATTATAACTTCTGTTGTACCACCCCTACCCCTTGCAACCTCTCACCTTTATTCCAGTTAGGTACACTTGACGAAACCTATTGAAAATGTTTTAGCTGTGGCTCAGAGTTACTTTGGCCCTTGGGCTAAGAGTGCGAGACTAATTGTACATTGTACTAATTATACTAGAGGGAGACTTTGTACAAAAGTCAATTGCTTGGGTACCTCTGTCCCATTCGTGTTTCAACCGTAAAGCAGAGGTGTTTGCATGGCTGTTTTTCGGTTTGAAGAGAGGAAAGAATTTAGACCAAAAGCAAAATATGTCTTTTGAGTAATGTAATATAATATTATTATTATGACCTGACTCTATATTTTTATTTTACTTCTAGCAAAACAAAAAGTCTATTGTTCTGTTGTGCATAGTGCATGGTATATCTGTAGCTAACGAGTATGTACCTATTGAATAGGTAGCTATAGAAACTATACCTATAGAAGGATGTGGTAATGCGGAAAGGAAAGTCGCATGGGACTAGCCTACCAAGCCTATTGTTTGCGATACCTTACTAGACATGTACAAGTAAAACATGTTATAGGATTTATCTATCCTTTTGAGCTTTATATTTTACTGTCAACCATTTTTTCCTTGCGTATAGTAAAAGAATTGTTTATAGGAACTTATAAGTAGGTATTGCCTGTAGGTATCGTTTTATAAAATATTTAAATAAAAAAACTTTTGGTAATAATAGAGTCTAGTCTATTATTACCAAAATTAATAATTAATTAATATAAATTGGCATATATCGGTTATTAACATAATAATTTAATTTTAATTTTGTAAATGTTATTTATTCTTCTGAAAGCAAAATCTTTGCAAATAGGTAAGGAAATTTTAAGGTCATGGTCTATGTTCCAAATTCTAATGAAAAAAGTGAGTTTATTTGTTACCTCTTGGTAATTGGTTTTTTGCTTCACCACGGAGTTGATCACTTCAGAAAGTAAAATGTCAATTTCTAAATTAAATGACCTTCGACTCTCGATAAGATTTTGTGGGCTGTATAAAGTTTTTATAATATGACTGTTTACGATTACAAACTATCAAAATTTATTTTATAATCCAATTTGTGTGACTTTATTTTGCTAACTAATCTTAGTTTCAGTACATTTGACTTTGCTTGTCAAGCAGTTTCTGTTTTAGATAACATAATGAATTGTTAATATTACTATTTCAGCTGGTAACTGTCCACTGCTGAACATAAGCCTTCCCCATAATCTCCTTAGTCGTCTCTTACGACATTCACGGGGAAGGAAGGGGCTGCTCATTCTATGCCGGGCCACACACGGCGATAAAATAAAATAATGAATATAATACAATTATACAATATTATTCTGTATTATCACTTTATAAAAAAAATTGCTTTTTGTTACTCATATTTTCATGGTCTGCTCTTCATCAGTGGACACAAAAAAAAGTTAGAAATAAGTAGGGCCGAGCGTTATGTCAAGAGCTCTGGGTTATTTGCCATTAATATAATTTCTGTGGTATTTAATTTCCCTTTTATATATTTAGGAAACGCTT